AAGTTGATTACCCTGAAGGAACTGAGGAAACTCCGTTTTGTTATTATTTTGAACATCTACAAAACATTCTGACAACCTGTGTCTCGATTATTTATGAGTTTTCTTGTGTATTTTTACTACCACGACTGATTTATCAAGCTGTATTAAATTTTGATCACTAAATTTCACATTTTTGTCATTTAAACTCCTGTTTGAAGACTTATTGCGAGCAGGAAACAGTTCCAGTGATTGAGCTCAGAAATATAAAAATATGAACAAAATAATGTAGCTATTTTTAAGTTAGAGTGATAAGGCATACATTGAGACATTGTCAGGCAAACATCTATGGAAACAGAGAAGTTTTATAGATACTGAAGGATTAAAATGAGGTTAAAATATTAACTCGGGTTGAGGAGCCTTAAACTCACCTCTAATCACGTAAGAAAGCCTTTTATAGCCTTTTTAACCCACATTCTTCATATCATCCCTTTCCATCCCATCATTTTCATCCTTACCTGGTTTCAACTTTGCTCCATGCCAGAGCTCACGGTTACCGACACCATAATTTTTTTCAGCGCCAGAAAGGCGACGAGAAAAGTAAGCGCAGGGGTGGACCTTGTTGTCTTCAATGGACCTTTGGGACAAAACTGCCCCTACACCAGAGTCAGAGGCATCAACCTCTGATATAAACTGATGGTTCAAGTCAGGATGGGCGAGAACGGGAGTCAAGGAAAACCGTTTTTTGAGCTTACTGAACGCAGAGTTGGCCTCGGGGGTCCATTTGAAGGTTCTGAGAGTGGATGTGAGCTGGGTGAGGCGATGTGACTGTAGTCTCTGATGAAGCGCCTGTAGAAGTTGGCAAATCCCAGAAAACATTGTAATTGTTTCCTCGTCTCGGGGACAGGCCGAGACTCGTCTCGGGGACAGGCCGAGTCAGAGACACTCGGCTGGCTTCATCTTCTCCGGGTCAGTTCTGTAATGTCCTCCTTCAAAAATAAAGCCCAGGAATGAAATGGAGGGAACATCAAACTCACATTTCTAACCCTTCACAAAAAGTTGATTTTCATATAGTCGTTGTAACATTGTTCTGACGTGATTAGTGTGTTCCTGCTCGTTTTGTGAGTAGATGAGGATGACGTCCAAATAGACAAACACAAAGTCACCAATGAAGTCCCTAAGGACATTGTTTACTAGGGAATACTGTCAGGCCGAACGACATGACCAAGTATTCGAAGTGTCCCAAAGGGGTCCTGAATGCGGACTTCCACTCATCACCCTCCTTAATATGCACCAAATGGTATGCGTTGCGTAGGTCCAGTTTAGAAAATATGGTTGCAGTCTGGAGCTGTTCATGGATGGAGTCAATGCGCGACAAGGGGTATTTATTTTTATATACTGTATACTTTGTATGTTTTAATAGTGTTTGACATAGCTACAGGAAGTCAGAACTAGTATGTAATTACAAAAATGTTAAACTGAGTCATCTGGACAGTTTCTTTTTGGAAGAAACGTTTCGTCTTTCATCCAAAAAACTTCATCAGTCTGAGGCCTGCCAACAGGAGCTGTCATATTAAATAGCACCTTATTGACATGTTTCAAACCAGTCTACTGTGGAATTCACAGAAACTGGCTTTACACGTGCAAAATAGAGGACTATCAGTCTAAAACAATCGATCATTCATTCATTTCAATTCAGTTTATTTATATAGCGCCAAATCACAACAAAAGTTTTCTCAGGGCATTGTACAGAAACATTCACGTACATAGAACAGCCAATTAGTAAAGTTCTCTATCTAAGAAAGCCAGCAGACTTGTTGAATCTTCATTTCGTCACAGTCTCCCATCCTGTGCAAGCACAAAGACAACAGTGGAAAGGAAAAACTCCCTTTCAAAAGTATATGGACTGTACTTATATAGCGCCCTTTTATCTTATCCAGATACTTAAAGCGCTTTACACTACAATCTGTGCCTCATTTATCCATTCATACAGCTCTCTACTAGATCGCTACAAAGCTAATTGAACAAATCATTCTAAAGAGACTACTCAGTGCTTTATCACATTCATACACTGATGGGACACACATCAGAGGCAACAAGGGGTTCAGTGTCTTGCCCAGGGACACTTTGGCATGTGACTGCAGGTGGATTCGAACCCCCAACTCTTGCATTGGAGGACGACTGCTCTAACTACTCAGCCACAGCCGCCCTCCAGCAGAAGAAACCTCCAGTAGAACCAGGCTCAGGATGAGCAGCCATCTGCTTCGACCGGCTGGGTTTGGGAGGACAAGAAGGAGAGACAGATGAACACAGAATGGCAGGTCCAGATGTAGGTCTTGACTCTACCAACTTCAGTAAACTTCATCCGATCTCTAATCTACTCTTTATTTCCAAAGTTCTTGAAAAAGTCATTACTAGTCAACTTCATTCTCACCTATCTAACAATAACATTTATGAGTAGTCTCAATCTGGTTTTTGCCCCCACCATAGCACCGAAACAGGTCTAATAAAAATTACTAATGACCTTCTTGTTGCTGACTCTGGTCTTCTGTCCATCCTCATTCTACTTGACCTAATTTCTGCCTTTGACATAATCTAACATTCTATCCTCCTCAACAGACCACTAGCATCCCAGGTATTCCACTAGACTGGTTCAAATCTTATCTCTCTGACCGCATTCAATTCATTAAGCTTAAATCCTTCCGTTCTCAGTCTTCCCCCATCTCCAGGGGTGTGCCCCAAGGCTCTGTCCTCAGATGCCTCCTCATCATGGAGACATCACCAGTACATGTACTAATGTAACCCAGAACTGAGGATGCGTATTGGTCCAGGTCTAGTGCCCCACCACTTTCAGTAGCTTCTCTGAAGACATCCCAGTCTGTTGGTTCAAAACAATCTCTCAGTATGGGGCCACTATTCTGCATCCAAGATTTAACTTTCTTTTGTGCCAGTCTGGATCATCTTAGTAGGGCCAAGTAAACAGGAGCCAGGAAGATTGAGATGTGATCAGACAGTTCTAGGTGGGGGCGGGGTTCAGCTTTGTATGGATCTTTTATGTTTGTGTAAACACGGTCCAGCGTGTTGTTTCCACATGTTGGTATGGCCGCATGCTGGTAAAATCTTGGGAGGAAGTCTTTTAGATTCCTGAGATTAAAGTCTCCAGCCACTATGTAAAGAACCTCAGCGTGTTTGCTTTGCAGCGAGCTGAAGAGATCATGAAGCTCCTGAAGAGCTTCGTTAGCATTAGTATCCGGGGTTATGTAAACAACTGTTATAAAAACCACTGTGAACTCGCAGGGTAGATAATATGGTTGACATTTCACTGTTAGCTGCTCCAAAGCCTTGGGGCAATGATGGCTAATCAGTGTACAGTTTGTGCGTCAACTTTTACTCATGTAAATGCAAACTCCGCCTCCCCTCAATTTCCCTATTAACTCACTGCAGCGGTCTGCTTGGAAAAAAAGTATGTCAACCAGCTGAAAGGCTGAATCTGGCATGTTGCTGGTAATCCATGATTTCGTGAGGAAAAGTACTGCACACTTCATCATCTCCTCTGAGGCACCCACTCTCAGACAAAGCAAATCCATCTTGTTGTCCAACTAGCAGACGTTCGACAGAAAGAGAGACGTATCAGGAGTTTCCCAGCGTTAGCATTAGCCTGTAGCCTCACCATAACCCCTGCCCGGCATCCTCGTTTTTTAAGCCGGGAACAGTGCTTCCTCCTCTGCCCATTGATGCATCTCTGCTGCAGCTTCCAGGTAGATGACTTTAAGATCTGCATTCTGCCGGAGCGTAGTTTTGAGTTTGTTGCGGATTGCTGCTATATTCCGTGGCAAATCTGCTCCTGTTCTCATCAGTTCTGTTCGGCTATAACTCGCACGCATAAATCGTGCAGAGTCAGTCATGGAGTCAATTTCAAAACTCCTAAAAACTGGGATCGCACCAGGAGCCTGTGAAGCTGCAGCTGCAGGGAGCGTGGACATCTTGCCCGCATCATCACACATCGTTTTTAAAATTTTTCTTTTTACTTTCAAAGCTATCCACAATCATGCCACTCCTTACCTATCTGACCTCCTACACATCTCCATCCCCTCTCACTCTCTCATATCCTCCTCTTCGCTGCACCTCCATGTACCCACTGCCCGCCTCTCCACCATGGGGAACAGGGCCTTCACCTGCTCTGCCCCTCACCTCTGGAACTCTCTACCACCAGACCTACGAAACACTACCTCTCTTTCTCTGTTCAAGACTACTCTGAAAACACATCTCTTTAGATTAGATTATCCTTCTTAACTTTGTTTTATGTATTTTCAGTCAACCTTTATTTAGACAGGTTAATCCCATTGAGCCTCGAGGACTCATTTACAAGAGAGACCTGATTTTATATTGTGTATGTACTTTATATCTCAATTTATGCCTGTTGGTCTTTGCACTGTTTGTTTTTACACAATCTTATATGATGTGTTTCTTGCTGTAAAGTGCCCTTGGGTGTCCTGAACATCCAACACCTCTCTCTGCTTTACCGTGACCGTCCAATGTCTCCCTTGGAAAAAGCCGTCTTCTGGATAGAGTATGTCATCAGGAACAAAGGAGCTGCCCACCTGAAGTCCGCAGGTTTCACCTTGCCTTGGTATGCCTACTTCTGTCTGGATGTGACTGCTTCATTTATGGTCATTACTGGAACCTTTATCTGTGGTGTAGTCCTGGTCTGTAGGTGTCTCTGCTGCCGGAGGTTCAAGAAGAAGATGAAAGCAGAATAATAATTATTAATATTAAGTTTTATTTAACCAGACAAATCCCAATGAAAACACAGATCCCTTTTGCAAGGGAGGCTTGGTCCTGAAGGCAGCCTAACATGCATGTTTTTGGTCTGTGGGAGGAAATCAGAGTACCTGGAGAAAACCCATGCAAGCATGAGAAGAACATGCAAACTCCACATAGAAAGACCCCAGGTCCAACCAGGGATTGAACCCAGGACTAAATGATTAAATAAACAAATGAATAAATAAAACAAATAAGTGATTAAAGTGTGTTTTATCTCAGTTGACATGCATTGTAATGTACTGTAACTTCTGACTCATAATGAAATGTTTAATGACAATAAAGCTTTTAAACAACACTGATAAGCTGCAGTGAAATCATATATAGAGTCCAGCCAGTCAGCTATGATATCAGAATTGCCAGAGATGTAGAGAAAACAAAACTTTAAGACATTCTCATGTTGGAGAAGCTAAACCACCTGTCCACAGACGCCTGACTCAACTCCAGAGAGCTGCTCTTCAGGACAAGACTTGGCAGTCCACCTACACCTCAAGGATAAGGGACACTCTGCTGAGGACCAAAATGTTCATGTTTTAGAGAAAACAGATAGTTTGAGAGTGGGGTTGAGTGGGGTTATCACTTGGCAACAAGCTAGTTTTGTTTACACAAGTGACTGTTTGAAAACTTGACTTTTATTGCTCTGGAGCAATGTCTTCTGGAATTTCAAGCCTATATTCAAAAAGGAGTATCCCCAAGCTTCAAAATGATACCAAGCATTACATGATGGGATTTCCGGATGCTATGGCAGGCAGAGAAAAACTGTCACTGTTTTAAGGAAATAAAATACTATGATTATGTCTCAAAACATGCCTGTTAGAAAACTTTGATTTAAAGATAGGCGAGGAAATCATGTATTTTATTAGTTAACGGGATCACTGAATGGTGTCTTTATGGACTCGTTTTTTACGACTATCTCGCTAAAATATTGGGAAACCCCCACCCCCATGTGAACATGCAAAAACATTGAGGGGAAGGTGTGAAATGCAATTCACATTTTCCATGTTCTTTCATGTTTAAGAAGATAACAGTAGACCATTTTCTTTAAAGTAAAAATCACATTGGACTCATTATGACCCGAGGTTTCAGAATAATCTACAGTGCCTTGCGAAAGTATTCGGCCCCCTTGAACTTTTCAA